ACATGCTAATTAAAATTTATGATAGTTTCATTTATAAAAAATTAGAAATATATAGTTCTTTCGCTGTAGTTATGACTTACAGATGCTAAAAGATTGTCTCTTCCCCCGAACATGTTGAAGAAAACTAGTTAATTACAAGTTAACCTAGTACACTTAAGCAACAGTCACACTTTTCATCTCCACAGTGTAGTAATATAAACAAACACAAACCCTAATCAACTAAATTTCTAGAAAACTCTTCCATTCAAAAGAATAAGAAGAAAAGTGTTTTAGAATAATTCCTAAAGAACCTTAAATCCCACTAATAGACCTTTTTTTTTTCCCAACAATTTTTCTATTCTACCAATATTCTACTAAAAATGTTCAACTTGAGTGCCATACTCAATGGTTGCATCAATAATTTGCATTTCTCTCTACAAACATTCAAACCAATTTCTTTCCCCCACACATATAAATGTTTATAAATTAAAAGGTCTCTCCTTTCTTCAGAGTTTTCTCTATTTTTCAATAAGCACCCTTAACCTCTAAATCTCTAAACCAAATCAGTTTCATCCAACAAACTACAGGTAAATCTAAATTCCTAGTAAAACACAATGAAGTAACATCAATATTATTTGCTACAGAAGGTTCAATGATTTGATAAAAAGTAAAACCATCAAATGAATAATAGAATTTTAATCATATAACGCCTAGCATAAATATCAGAACACAGGACAACACGATGATACCTTGGATCAAACCGCAACTTGTCATAAGAACGGGGGCATTCCAGAGAGCTAGAGTACAACTTTTTCAGAAGACTGCAACAATAACAAATTACCCAAAGCAGAAATTAATAAGGTTTTTAAAATGCTGGACCCTAATTTCAGAGTAACTATCATTACATCCTGAGGGAATTACCAATGGAAATAAGTGCGCCCTCCTGTCCTGGGAACATGTAGAAAGAACAACAAATCTTGCAGGGTGTGTTTGTCTTGTTTTAATTCTTGATCAAGAGAAGAAAGTGCCCACTTTTTGACAACTCTTTCACAGTGCCCAAAATCAGTTACTGTAGAAGCATTCACTGTAAAAGAAACTCAAAAGTGTCAGATATTGCACTACAATTAACACTAGAAATAAACATTTTGAGGTCAAAATAAAAATAATAAAGGAAATTCAAAAGGGTTTTACTTCATATCAACATATCAATAATTAGTAACAGAAAATTCAAATTTAGCAAAGCCCCTAGTCAGCTTTCTAATATGTTTCTGCCGTCCTAATTACAAAACTAAAAACTAATTTATTCTCACCATCTAGAAGAGCTTATTCAGTAAAGAGAAATCAAGGTCATTCATTTAGGTAACAAAATAATAATAATTATAAACTAAATGTGGCAAAGATGGCACTGGGACAGTGATATCTACATTTGATGTATGGGTGGAAGCGATCAAGTTAGAGCGACAATGATTATTAATGGTACTGAATATTCAATCAGCACTAGAGGTAAGGTAAAACTCAATCAAGTTTGTGTTTAATTTCTAAAATGCAAAATATAAGTAATAACACTCAACAGCGAATCAACATTTGGGGTAAGGGAAGACGAGACTATTCCACAAAATTCAATCAAATTTATGCCTTTCGTTTCTAAAATTCAGAATCAATCTTTCTAACAAATCAACAATTTCATTCAATACTCATGAGCCCAACCATCATAATAAACATAAGAAAAAAAAAAACCTTTTTCAATTCTAAACAAGATTGAAAACATACCAAACCCGAAAAGCAGCAACAGAAGACCAAATTTGAGAGCAGTATCCATGGGGCTGATTCCTACTCAAATCACTGCAAAACAAAAAAGCAAGTAAATAAACGCAATTTGAAATTGTTAAGAAAGAAACTAGTAAGAGAGAGAGAGAGAGAGAGAGAGAGAGAAATGAAACATTAAACATGTGGTTGAACCTGTATAGATTTTCGTGATCTCGTGCTCATAAACTAACACCACCCATGTTGCCCACTGTAACCTACAAGAATATATCAAATCAAAAGTTATAGAGCATGGAAATGGAAACCCTCGAATTGTGTAAAAATGATTTTGGGTTCTCAATGCAGAGCTGAAGAGCGAGCGAATATAACAGAGAGGAATTTGTAATGACTTTGGGGAGGTTTTAAATGGGCGCCGGGAGGTGGGTGGTTTCTTTTTTTAGTATGAAACGCACGCCGTGAGAAAAAAAAAAAAAACATTTATTGGGCGTCTCGATTAATAATATTTGAAAAATACTATCCTTGCAAAGATAATATAAAATAAGTTATAAAATAACGTCAAAAAAAAAAAATAAATAAAGAAAGAACAAAAAAAAAGAAAAAGAGAAAGAAATCACGAAGATTAAGAGTAGCAATTGTCTTTATATACTCTTTTTGTATTTATCTTTGTAAGACTAATACTGTTCATAATATTTTATCATTGGGTATATTATATTAACAAAAAAAAATCACCTTCAAAATTAGTAGAAATATTTAGAAAAGTATTTGGTTCGTTTGAATAAATTAATGAATAATATTTTTTGATGAATAATATGTTTTGGTTGAGAAGATAAATGAGTAAGTATGTTATAGAGATTATTAAATTGCTCTCATTTTTAAATATTAATATAATAATATTTTTTTATTTTTAACCCTCTACATTTAAAATTTTGCTAAAACACCCTAATCACATAAAACTTTAATTTTAGCAAAATCACCCCCACCCACCCCAAGGCACTACTGGCAGTCAACCACCACCGTCGACAGTCGATGGAATGGTGCACGACTGACTGTATGTGATCGGTCGTGCGCGGGCAAAGCAAAAAATGGCCATGGATTACAAATCCATGGCCAGAAAATAACCAAATCTATGGTCATTTTACAGCCACATCTTTAGTCATGAAACGAGCATAGAAACGCCAAATATGGTAGTTTCCGGCCATAGATCTGTGAGGAAAATGCCTTATTGGTGCACGACCGGCCAGATCCTACCTGTTGTGCAACATTATAACGATTGACGTAGGTGATCGGCGGTGGTCTTGGGTGGCTGGGGGTATTTTGTTAACTTTTAAACTCTTTTATGACTGGGATGTTTTAGCTAATTTCTCAAATGTAGAAAAGTGGGGTAATTGTTTTTTCGTAGACATTTAAGGGCAATTGTGTCCAAAATGGTTTTTAATTAAGGGTAAAATTGATAAAAAAATCTGATTACCCGGTAATGTTTTAATTATACCCCCTAACAAGTAATAAGATTATCCTCCTATTATCAATAATAAATACTATTTACAATAAAAGATTAATGTAATATTTTATTACTTAAAACCAAACACAAGAATCTTGCAAACCTGTGCATAAGAGTTAATTATTTACTAAATCGAAAGGTAATCTTTATCTTGTATTTATTATTTCAATATTATTCTAGATTTTCAGATCTTACACATTAATTGTGATAATCTTGTGAACATAAATCAAACTATTTTTTTTTTTTTTTTTTAATAGTATAGACTATAGAGTTTAACCTCTTTTGAATGTATAAATAGAGTAATGCTATGTGCACTAATCAATGTGTACTAATTCAAGTACTAACATTGGAAATTTGAAAAAAAAAATTAGAGGGAATTTCAAATTTCCAATGTTAGTACTTGGATTAGTACTCATTGGTTAGTGCACATAGTTTTATTCGTATAAGTATTATGTCCTCGCATTTTGTAATACGAATTTTTAAAATTTGTAGCATAAATTCATAGATTAATAGTAATTAACTATAATTCTTCATCTAGATTATCTTATTACATTGAATTAAGGGCTAAAAATTCGTGTTACAAATTTATGTCAAAAACCCTTTTAGCTAATTGGATAGGAGATGTTAAATTACCAAGCAGTAGAGCCAGTCTAAATTCTTTGACAGATACTATGAGCAACAATATATTAATTTTATAAAGAATAATAGTGTACTTCTTCTCTAACCGATATTCTAAAATTTTAATCCCAAATGTTACGTCGTTATAATAAATTATATATCAATGTATGACATTGTTATCTAAATGAACAGTTGAGGTCAAGGATATAGTTAGAATTTTTAGTGAATGGGTTCAAAACATTTAAGTTATATTGGTATTTTATGAAAAGAGTAAACGACTTTTTCCTATCCAAGGTTTGCCTTAACGACACTTTTCCACCCAAAGTTTATATTTCATTATTACCCAAAGTTGATTTTGGCAGCAAAATTTCTCACTGTCACCACTATTTGAACCTCTAGTCTCCTCTCTATAAAACCCCATTTACTCCGACACTTGATTTTTCGCCAATTGTCGGATTTTTCGCCAATTGTCGGTCATCACAAAGCTAGCGTTTCCTGTTCTTAGTTGATTTTCGACTGATTTCGGTAAAGAATATTCAATCGATCACCACCATTCAATCCACCAACCTCCACTCTATAAAACTCCTCTCACCTTAGCTCTTGGTAACTTGTCAAACGTCGACTGAGAAAGTAAAGTATATTTTGGATAGTAATATAGTATAAACTTTGGATAGAAAAATGGTATTTCAAAACTTTTAAAGTGGGAAGTGTCATTAAAGCAAACCTTGGGTGGGAAAAGGCCGTTTACTCTTCACGAAAATGAAAAAGGAACATGAATCAACAAAAGAACAAGCCACTTAAATTGGGACATGATGAAAAGTTGTTAATTTGGTAATGAGGGAGAAACCAAATGGCATTGATATGGGTGGTACACTTTTCCACCAATTAAAAACTGTCGTTGTAGTGTGAAACAGGTTGTCGTTTTCCCTAAGTGGCATCGGGGAATGTGGGCACTTTTATATGTTTTAGAAGAGTCAAAGGGTTGGCAAGGGCAACCCCACCAACTTGGCACCACTCCGTTTTACCTTAATTCTGTGGACTATACTGTTGGTGGCCACTTGTATCCATTGCATCTGTCTTTTGGCAATTTGCTGCTGACATCAAGATCACGGTTTTCCTCAATAGCTCATAGGTTGAGAAGTTGAGTATTTTCATTAGATAAATGGATTGTAATCTAATAGGAACATTTTCAGCACTATTTAAGAAATTATCTGTACAAAGATTGGCATCGGAAGATGCTGCCGGTTCAATTTTCATTGAATCAAAGAATAGTTTCTGTAACTTTGATGGCAGATACACACATCCTCATTTCAAAGAGAGTAAGATATGAGATAAGGGAGGCGTTCATGGTTTTACAAGAACTGATTTCGTCGCATCCAGATGGTTCAGGCGGCATGTCCCCAGAAGAAATTCTGGGAGCTCCTCTTCGGTATTACCCTGTGGCAAGATCATCGAAAATAAGTACTTAAAATGGAATGGTAGGTCATCAAAAAAGGTCAGAATTGCACAACCAAACATAAATTATGTGCACATATTTCCTTCATTTACAATCTCAAATTTATCCACATCCGGGGAAAAACTTTAGTTTACTTGGCTTGATTCATGATTAAAATCTAAAAAGCTTTAGCTGTTCCAATATGGTTTGTGCCAGGGTATGCAAGCAAACATGAACTGGGTAGAACCTTTGGTTACGGTAACGGAAAATAGATTGGAATTACCTGTATCAAAAATGCCATTTCAATAACAAGATTGTTGAGGTAACCAAGAACAAGACTAACCACACCCCTTGCAACTGTGGACGATCCAATATCAATCCCAAGCTGAAATGAAATTAATGAATGTCAAAAATCACATGTTGCAAACGTAATATTTCCCATGCCATATAATGTTTAGACATTGAAAGAGCTCTTCTCTTAGCACAAAAGTCTATCTAGTAAACACTTGTCAAATTTATGCTGTTGAAATATTGCAGTACTCAACAAGTGTAGTACTTGCATATATATGAATTTCATCAACCTAAACATAAAATATAACCAAATATGTAGTATCTGAAGTCAAGAAACAACATTTGAACGTCTTCATTTATATACGTAAATAATTCAACCAATTACTCTCGGCCATCCTTCTCCCAACTTAAAATAATATTTTGCAAACATACCTCCAAGTAGTTCCTCCCATGGAAATAGTTAATTTCCAGTGCTTGACCAATGAGGCAAGCTTTCTTTCCCACACTCTGTTTAACTATCCATGAACCCTGGGAATCAAGTTAAATTAGTATGAGCTAGGAATTATAAGTCACATTGAATGAATTAATGCAGCACAAAATAAATGTCTCTGGAAAAGAAATGGAAAGAAAAATTATTCAAAATTGAATAATTTCTAGTTCCTCCATAGGTCAAAAGAAAAATATATACACATGGACCATAGTAACCATCAATTCCAAGGGTTAGAAGTTGAATTTGTCCCACATCACCAAGTTAGTAGACTGTTATGGTGTATATATGTGATTGAACTCTCTCCTCCCTTGAGCTAACTTTTGGGAGTAAGTTCTACCCAAACTCATTTATCAAGCTATCAAAACCACGTATGTTTGGAGTGGTGATGAGTTTAGACCCTAACCCTGTACACTCTACCTTTTCGGTTTGAGTAGCTCATTTATCACCAAGTACTTCCATAAACAAGCAATCGAATGGATTGGTAAGAGAGAGATATTTCAGCATCATATTTAATACTTTAGAAATAAATAAATAAAAATACGACACATTAAGTAATCAAGCAGTGGAATTTTACGCAATTGTGCTATCAAATTCTAAAACAGATAATTTGCAACATCCATTGTATTTACAAACCTTAGATATGTATGGTATGAGCTTAAACCTCGAATTTCTATATGTATCATCCCCCTTGATAAAGCTTTCTAGCAAGGGTGAATCCTTGACAGGAGTAATCATCATATAATAAAGTGCCAGGCTATACGAGGTTGAGCCAGGAACCTGTTTCATATCTAAACATTTAGTCATTCTAAAATCTAAACGCAGAATAATCAATCGTATAATATAACTCAAGAATTTATTGACTTGAGTTGGGTGTAAACCAAAAACTGAATCTACCTGTATGTTTATAATAAAAAAGAACTCTGGACCACCCTGCTCCGCATATTTCTGTAGAAAAGAGCTTGTAAAACGTCTGCAATGAATGGCTAGGAAATCTTGAAACATAAGAGCAATTTACAGTGATGAAAGATCAACCTGAACAATTCCCCCTGGACGGCCTCCAAGATCATCTTCACGCTTGTCCGATTTCAGCCAATCGGCAGCAACCATTTGCATTAAGGTGCCCTTCGCCTTCACCTGGGAAAAGATGATAATAGATAAAATAAGAACTGCAGGTGGGGAGTTAACATTTCCAATTGAGAATTCAGGATGATCACAAGGAACAAGAACAAATTCAACAGAGTAAACCCAAGACTGATTGGTCTTAGAAACTTCATAAACAAGGAACATAGATAGCAGGAGAAGAAAAATGCAAGCTAACATAGATCAGTTACCATTAAATTAATATGATGCAAGATCACGCAAACCCAGACCACATTTCACCTCTCCAGTAGGTGGGAATGATGAACATAATACAAAAGATACAAAGCAAAACTTTTTTCAGACAGTGGCCGCTTTTTTATTAATAACTTTGCTGCTCGTACCTTTTGACGGTCTTGCAGGTAATTCTTTCCACGAATTAAAAATGCAGAGGGATCTGTTGATGTCCAACTGCAAGGCATAGTACAAGTTGGATCCTTTTGAAGAGTAGTTCCATAACAGCATGACATACTGTCTTCCCTTGACATCCCTTGTAAGTCCATATAGCCCCTCGTCTGAACTGTGACACATAGAAGTAGCTTGTCATCAACAGTTCAGAAAAGCAGAAAACCATATACAACTACAAGGCAGAAGCAAATTTCTTTTTCAGTGAACTAAAATTTTAAGCTGAATATTTGTAACCCAAACCAAAATCACCTGCAAGATCATGCAATTTTTTCACAAAACCTGCAGCTGTTGATAATCTTGGTTGACGTGTATCCTGCAATTGTCATTGTCATAGACTCCAGTGAGAAAATCAAAATAAGCAATATCTGGAGCTTATGGGATATGTAGCTTATGCTAGTACTGAAATTTTCATGCCAAAAGGCTTGAGAGAAGAGAAGAAAATGGATGGGTAGAATATTCAGAATCATCATCATCATACAACTAGTTTTAACTTTAAACCCATAAGATTCAAGAAAAAAGTTTGCACCTTATGTGCTGACAAATTTAACAAAACTAATGCAAGTATGCATCCATTTCGCAATGTGACTCATGCAAAATGTCCTTAAAAACAACTCCAAATTGTCTTTGACAGTGAGAAGGTACAAGAAATTGTTTGACAAAGCTGATACCTGAGAGTAAATTTCTGGACCAAAATCAGAAGTCCAGCCATTTTCTATATCGTCATAGTCGGATGGTTCTGGAACATCAAAGAACTCATCAGCAGCATCATTTAAGCCAACCAGGCTTGCATGTTCATCCATCTCTTCACTTATGTTTTCCTTGGGTTGCCCATCTTCTGTCAGTGTTCGAACACCAACTGTGCTATCCTCTTCCATATGAAGCAACCTAACATTTCTAGCTAACTCTCCCGATGAAAAATCAGAAGAATAATTTCCTTGCTTTGCTCTAAAAAGTTCTCGTAATGCTGCAAATACCAATAGAATAACAATTAACAACAACAACAATAATAACAGTAAAATTGTAATTAGTCGCCTCAAAGGTTTTTTAAGTGAAATCACATTAATGCAAGTGTATATGAGCAGTTAAAGGTTACCAGCAAGTCTTCCGAGCATGCTGATGGTAATAGATCGTGCTGAAGATGGCTGTAGATAAGATCTCCAGAATTTCCAATCAATAGCAAGCATGTGCTTTACAACTGATTTTTTCCCTTGGTCCACAGGAGATACAACATAACCCCCACCTGCAAGAGAGTGTAAAATATTATCTGTTATTTTTCCCTTGACAATTTTGATATGCATTCACCCAAAAAAATAAAAATATGTATAAGGACCTCTCATCACCAGAGGATTCAAAAGATACAACATCTGACACACACTGAACCAAAATCACAATGATAGATGATGATAAAAATGATTAAAAAAGAAAAGTACCATTACTATCATTATCAAAATAATTATTAAGCAACAGATCATTCATTATACATTTATTTTTACATAGCATGCATGCAAGAAATTCTGAAAAATAAAGTAAATTATCTTTTCCTTCTAAATTGTAAGCATACGTTACTTTTAAGGCAGGCACGAACATAGCCTTTCTGGGGTGGACACTTCTTATGAAACACGGAATGGTAGAGTATAACTGCAACAAAATAAACCAAAGAAAGTTATGTCTAATCCAAATCAGTTAGGGGTATATAATTATTTGAGAAATTCCTCAACAACATCACAACCATATGTCCCATCATCTTCCCTTCTCCAATAACGCCGCAACAAGAGATCTCTTCTTTTCATTCCCCTGCAAATTACATGTAAATGACAACAATTACAAATGAATGTAAACTACTAGGCATCTATGTTAAAAGAACACTGACTATATATAATACAGCCTAGAATCTGACCATGGTAACCAATCACCATATAACTGCTTGTGTATAATATCAGTATGACCATCAAGGTGTTCAACGACACTACCCTTGTAGAAACAGAAGTCCCATCTGCAAGCCAATTTGCCAAGTTACTTCTGGTAACAAATGTAAATTTCTAGAAGAACAAAGATGAATTACTTTATAACAGTACTACAATTCTGCATAGCTCCGGGATAATAATCTTCAGTCAGGTGGTAGCATTTTAATAGGACTTCACTGGGAAAAATCAATTTTTAATTGGAAGTGCATTAGAGTCATCTAATGTTACAGGATAGACGACAAGGTTTTAATCTCAGTAGTATACACTATCTGCACAGAGGAAGCTCTCTAGGCCGTAAAGAAAGACCAGGAACCTAAAGTCTAATTTATTTAAGGAAACATGTTTATATTTATGAATGTTCAGATATTAGTTGTTTGAGTTGATTATTACCTGTTTTGAGTTATATTTGGTTTTCTTATATGAATATACAATTATGGTTTATTGGCAAAGTCCCAAAAACAAAATAGTTCCTAAAATAAAACCTTTCGTTCCAGGTTTTGCATCAGATGCCTTTGCTCATGGATATGGTCACTAAACAAATATATTCTGTGTTGTGTCTTCCTAAGGTGCCATAATCTAAAAATATGTAATCACTAACATATAAACTTACAACATATAGTTTTGTTTGATGAAAAAGGATCAATTCACGGGAAAATGCCTATTTATCTTTAAAGGTGTTATGAATCCAAGTACAAAATTCTGCACCCATATAAGTTATCACTTATCACTTCAACCTTGTAAAAATATAAAAATTAAATGCATCAAGAAAACTTACTCTGATCTTGAGGGACCAAGAGAAATGAGTGTTTGGAAAATGGCTTCTGAAGCTCCATCCACCACCCCAACAGCCATTATTGCAGGATGATCATCCCACTGCAGAGAGAAAAATATATAAATTATTGCTGCATTGTAAAAATCTAAATGGTCAAAAAGAAAAAGCTACCAACCTTCCCATGAGAATTCCTATCTTTTGCTTCTTTAAACAGCCGCAAACCTGCATTACACTCATGATTTCAGGCATGCAACTTGTGCGAGCTAAAATCGAACAGCACATTTTTAATTTTGTACGCACCATTCTGACAACCAAAGATTGTCCAAGGTGAAGGTGCGATAACATCAGGTGTCACTTGATCCATTTGTGTTGTTGAACATAGAGTCCAGTCTACAGATCTAATGCGATTTGCCCTACTGGAACCGCTCAATCTGCATGCATTAATAAAATCTCTGAAAAACCAGAAATTGACCATCGTACATGGGACAATGTTCTGAATCCACAAATATCAGCCATAGCCTACAACGAATAGCTTTCTCTAAAATTCCAACAGAACTGTTTCTGGTGAAAAGGCTAGTAACAGAAAAGGCAGTAGATAGTATATATTGCAAAATTACACTGATTGCTTGCACTATATTCAGATTCAGTGTACCTGAAAGACTCCCAAGGTCTATTTGAGTATCCAACAAGATTATCTCCTTGATATGGAGCAACCTGAAAAACAGATAAGTATTAATCTTCTGTATTACAGACACACTTCTGCTGTACCTCAACAAAATAAAGATGTTTGGAACCTTTAAAGCGGCTTCCTGAAATGAATGAATCCATTTAGCTGCTTCTTCAGGACTGCTTGCTCCTAGCTATGACATTAAAATACCATAACCTATACATGAAAATGTTATATAAAGTTTACAATAACTTAAAAAGACAATTACCTTACCTTAAGTTGATCATGATGATTAGAAGTATTATAAAGCGTAAATATGAAGAATACCTGCACATTGCAAGAAAGAGCTTACTTTACAAAAGTATCAATACCAAAAACTTTATCAGAAAATACAAACTGCGAAACAGGAACCAGTAAACAAAAACAGCACTTTGACATACTTTTCTGTGGATGTTTTCTCTCCCATTGTCTGTAACGCGAATGCAGGAATCTATAATTGCACTTTTAACAGGTTCCTGACAGGCATATCAAGGTTTTTCTTCTTAGTTAATATACCAAACAACAATGTTAAATACCAGACCACAAAATTTTTAACAAAAGAACATTCTCATGGGAAACAAATTAGAGAATCTGTGAAAAAACAGACTGCACAACTAAGAAAAAAAAACATTCAGATTCATTTTGTGATCAAAGCCTTAATAGAATTTAGAAAAAGCACTCACTCTGTTTATGTACACGATAAATATACTGAACAAAGGAAATGAAACTTATTACCAATTTTATAGAGTCGTATCTGGTGTGGGTGTGTGTTTATTGAGATAATTGTACTCATTCTATGTAAACCTGATAGGTATTGAGATGGTTACTTTAAAATAGCTCTACAAACTCTTTACTGCTTTGGTCCAATTTGATTGCAAACTCTTTGATGTTTTGACACAGCACCCTTAAATATTTTTGGATTTGTGAACCTTTGGTTTATTTCCCACTTACCATCTACCATCTTTCTCCTAGTAAGTGCATAAATCAACTTCAAGCACCTAAGAGGCACCAGGTGTGCATAAATCAACTTCAAGCACCTAAGAGGCACCAGGTGGGCCAGGTAGTGGATGACACTCAGGAAAGTATAGTTGCTTCCCAAAAAAGAAAGAGTATCAGCAAATTAAATATGATATACCTAAGTTTACATTGGACTATTTTTTTCTCCATAAGTATTTTAATCACATCATTTATTCAACCTCAGAGTTGAAATGTTACCCAGCGGTAGAATCTTAAACAAAGACTACTGAAACAACTAAATGCTAAAGCAGAAATTTGCTATACATGACAAGTTGATAGGAAACTCAAAACGCATCATTCTTTTAATGAAGGGAAATTTCAAATGACCATATTCAGATAAAAGAACCTTCAAAATATGTAAGTCAGTGAATTTAAAGGATCAATTCCCCCAGAAAAGACAAAAGCAAAACCCCAAAGTGAGCAACACAAGGAAAACGTTTGCTTTCCCAGAGGCCCAGTCACTTTCCCCCAAAGCCTTCAAGAGTAAAAACTAGTAATTAAGCAATTTCATTCACATTAACACAGGTTTTAACTGAATAAAAAACTACGTTATTTTCATTGCCTAGTACTCCAGGCAAGATCAAAAATGAAAACCAATCACTTCAAATGAAGCAATTTTAGTATGACATGTAATAATATCCAAAACGCTCAACCGTTCTATGCCAAAACCAAAGAAAGAAAAGCCATAACTAAATTGGGTAAGTAATAAAACTCCACATTCAAGTAGCCCACGTTTTAGTACCTAACACTATCACAATACAGTGGAAAACACAACTGGCAATCAAAAGTGGTTGCATCCACACACATAAAAGCAAATCCAATATCGCATACTCAAAACTAAATAAATTAATAAAAAATAGCTCATAAAGTTGCCACATAAAAATGAATCACACGTTATAAACGATACTAATATTGCGTAATAAGTTACTTAAACATGTGATCCGATTGTTTTCTATCACTAAAATAATGTTGTAGGATTCATGTATTACAATTTACAACATGTGCTGCAAGTGTTGCCTTGAGCTTACGGAAAACGACGATTATTGCGAGTTACAAGAACTCGTGACGCCGGTAACACTACGGTCCCGGTAATACAGCATTTTCCGAAGTTTGCTACAGCATTGACTTGACCAGAATCTAAATTAAAAAATTTGAAGTTAGAAAGAAAGAGAAAAAAAAAAAAAAAAACCTGGTTCTCAGAATCCGGTACAGACTTGAAGCTCTTGAGATGATGATCATCAAGAACGAAATACCGTTTTCTTGAATACTGTAATCCAATCCGATTCGAACGAATTAGGTACAACCAACCTTCCATTGTACCATCGTTCTTGATTTGCGACAAATCCATCTCTCTCTCTCAACAAGAACGAACAAATATAATTGAATAAATAAACAAAAATGTTTACAATTCAAGAAAAAAAAGTGTGAGTGATCATCAGTTGAAGACAGAGAGGGTTGTAAAGGAAATTGATTAAAAGAAAGAGAAAGACTGTTTCCTTCTCTCTCTCTCTCTCTCTCTAGACTCTTCTGTATTTCTTCAGTTTTGGTTGAGTCTGTGTTTTCTCTCTGTTAAAGCAATGAAACTGATTTGGCTTGACGAGTGCGTGCGTATATCAGACAAAGATTGACTGCCGAATATTTTATGTAAAATTACTCCATTGTCCTTCTTCTTGAATTGAGATTTGAGAGTTTGGGAGTTGAGTTTGGCAATTTTTTTTATTTTTTCTTCTTGGACCATCTTCGTCACAAACATCAGAGTAGTGCAAGTTTCAGACTAAATTGGTATAATTTTTAGTATATTTTATTATTATATCTTTAAACTCATTCCATGCATATTCTCTTTTTTATTTTTTTTATTAATAATTAATAATTAATCTATTTTACTAATTATTTTTATATATATATTAATTAAATATTAAAAATAATATTTTTATTAAATAATAATTATTTTAAAAATTATACTAATTTAATAAAATTAAATATTTATTTAATCAAATAAACATTATATTTAATATAGAAAAACATTTCATCTATTATAAAATATCAAAAAAAAAAAAAGACAACAACAACACAAAAGTAAAATTTCATATTGATAGTAATTTAATTTTCTGAATTAGTATATTATTCCCACAAATGATCAATTAGTGCATTTCGAAGAACATAGTAAATCTCTGTATCTTTGATTTGTCTATGTCGAACAAGAAAATTTTAAAATTGGACATTTTCATCTACGACAATTTCAACTTCAGGAGTTGACGCTTTCATCTGATTCTCAATCGATACATCAACATTACCATCATCATTTTTTGAATTATATAATTATTATGAATTTATTATTATAAATAATAATCAAATTAACATACATATAAATAACAAAAATAAGAAAATAAAATATATTTTATAAAATATAAACATTGCTACATCAAATTGGTGTAAGTAAACAGTATCACGCCAAATTTGGCGTGATATTGTTTACTTACACCAATTTGGCGTGATACTGTTTACTTACACCAATTTGATGTAGTGTTTGATGTTGGATTTGAGCACATTTTTCACTATTTTGGTGTTTTAGCGTTGTGTTGGAGATGGCCTTGGGAGACCCAAGTCTACTTGCAGCATAATTATCATAATTTTTAATTTTTTGTGCAACAAATAAATATTATTTTAAGGTAATTGCTTGTGGTTTCGTTATTGAGTCGTTATAATCACTACTGGTAACACTAAAATTGATCAAGAGGTAATTGTAATCCCTTAAATGATTTTAATCTTTTTAAGGTAAGTTTGCAGTTGGGTTTAATTTTGGAAGTGTTGTCGTGTAAGAATTTGCAATAGGTCAATTTGTCTGTTAAATAGAAATCTTTAAAAAAAAAAAAAAATCAATATCAAAATCTTTTGCACAATCATAAAAGATGTGACTAATTGTATTTGTCAATATTTACAATGTAGTGCTTTAATCATATATTTCATTTTTAGGATGAATGAAATTAAAAACTTTATGTTATAAGCATTAAATATGATAACATTTCCTCTAAAAAGTAGATTTTATTTTTTTAATCAAATTCATCATAATCACCATATAAAAAGCGTAGATTTATTATTTCTCATTAGAGCTTATCCAGAAGAAAATAAATAATATTACTATTATAGTCTAGATTTAATTTACTTTTTTCATTATTTAAATTAAGTAATAAGTATTAAGATAATCATAATTAACATTAATACTAATTGCCTCAAGTTGGAAACACGCAACTTAAAACAAATGATTTATCTTGACTTTCTTCATAAATAACCCGCTTATCATGATTGATATGATTACATGCCACCTCTTTTTTTTACACATATTCTCATCTTAATAAATGAGCTTCATATTATTAAAATAATTATTGTGAATATATTTTTATAAAAATATAATATGGATTTAAGTAAAAATAAATAAATCATCCTTTGAAGACAAAAGTGGGAGCCAACTCCGTTTGACTTGATTATTATTGTTTGTAGACCAATCAATTGGATCAAATAAAAAAATAAATTTTAGTCCATATGATCAAACTATATTTTTTTTTTTCATGACAGGGTATCTGGGCCAACTTGCCCTAAACACCCTAAACTAATCTTTTGATGTCTATTGAACACCCTACAAGTTTAATGTTATAAGGTAAATTAAAAATGTGGTAAGTGTCTCTAAGATGATTCGAACTTTGAAGCAGTAAGTCAATAAAATGAGCAAATATTATTGATCGACAGGCCAACCTCTTGGGATTAAAATTTGTTTATTTGATTGATATGAAACATACAGTATATCATGATATTTGATTGATCAAACTTTAATTTTTATTAATTAATAATTCTCTCATATGCGTTATTTCATTGTTTTACTTGTTTTAAGTTTTAAAAAATATCTGACCTAAGAGTCCAAGAAAATAAATTTGCTCATAAGGGCAAAATTGAGAAAGCATAATTTTGGGATCAAAACGCAGAGTATTATGAAATGGGTGTGTGGAGTTTATGTTTGTTGTATTGTAACGAATACTAAATGACATGGAAAGGAATTGAAAGAGAGATACATATATAAAGTTAGATTTTGTTACATCATTATTGTATCAACTATCACGCAATTGGTTTATATAAAAGAAAAGACTAGTGGAGAATCTTTTGGTGGGCATGACTTAAGCAATTTTTTTTTTTTATTGGTTCAGAGAATATTGTATTACTGAAAAGATAAATTATCAGAGAATCTTTAGAGAAATATGTTTGGTTGATTGTAATAAATTATTGGATATATTATAATAATATGTTTGGTTGTGAGGATAAATGAGTGAATATGTTATATAGATTACTAAATTGCCCTCATTTTTAAATAATAATATAATATCATTTTTATTATTATTTTATTCTATTAATTTTTAAACTATTTCTTTTAACCCCCGATATTTGAAATTTTGTTAAAACACTTCGGTCATATAAAACTTTAATTTGTAGCAAAATCACCCCCACCTACCCCAAGCCACTATCAGCAGCCAGCCACCATTGCCGACAGCTAGCCGCCGTAATGGCGCACGATCGATCAAATTTAGCTGGTCGTGCGTCGATAAAGCCTAATTAGGTCATGGATCAAAGATCCATGGCAAAAAACGGCTATATCTGGCTACGAATATAGTTGTTTCACGACCAACGATGTGGTCATGAAACGGCCACAGATCTGGCCGTGAAAAGGCAAGATCTTTGGCTATGAAACTGCAGCCATTTCACGGCCAAAGATTTGGTCGTGAATGACATTTCACGACCACATCTTTGGTCATGAAATGGCCAGATCTGGTCGTTTTTGGCCATGGATCACAAATCCATGGTCAGAAACATTCTTACCGACACACGATTGGCAAGATCCCGTCGGTCTTGCATTGATATGACGACTTTCACCAGTAGCCAGCAGTGGTGGCTAGCGACCAGTGGTTGTTTTGGGTGGCTGAGGGTATTTTGTTAACTTTTAAAATTTTTTAAGGCTGGGGTGTTTTAGCTAAATTCTCAAATGTAGGCGGTTTGGGCTAATTGTTATTTGATAGACATATGAGGGCAAATGTGTCAAAAATGATAAAAGATTAAAGACAAAATAGAGTTAAAATTAATATTACCTCCATAATCTTATATTAACATCCATTGGGAAGGTAATCTGATTACCCCCGATATTTCTAATAATAAACACTATTTGTAATAAAACATTATGTAATATTTTATTATTTGACAACTAAACGAAGAAATCTTGAAAATTAAATAAAGATTACAAGATTAATCTTATATCACGCGCAACCTTAGAATAATCCTTTTCACTACTTTAGTACATATTTTATACTTTATATAATATATAGTATTATCAACATGTGAATTTAAAGATGTCACGGCAGGGTTAAAGAAAATTAAATTGTTGGTGGCAGCTAATCTGTGTTGATTTATGTGGACGTTTGGTCAGAAATTCTTACCAAACAATTATAATAATAATAAATAATTTTTTATTTTGAACTCTAAATTGACTTTCGTTCTAATATATTTATAAACAAATATATTGGCATTGAAATGGTCATATATATATGTTTTTTTTATTGATCTTTGGAGACAGTAAATTAATAAGAACAAATCACACTCGGATAAAATAAATAAATTGTGATATAGATATACTACAATTTGCATACAATTTGTCATGAAATAAATTTATATTATTTTCAATATTTGAAAATACAAAAAATTATATTGAATGACCATTTCAAACCAACATACTTTTTTTAATTGAAGGTAAAAGGAAAAAAAAATAAAAAAAGCTAAAATTCATTAAAAGACTAAAAGCAACTTTGATGGTATAACAACTATCTCTAGGTGGCCAAACGGTTTGATAAATACTCGAAAGGTCCTGAGTTCGAGTTTCTTTTTAAGTACTAATGAGGACAGTCATTAGATCTCCTATCTGATCAGTAATTCTGGTGTTTCAAATGATTAATTAACAGCTAATTAAAAAAAAAATCTAACGAGTCTAATTAAAATTCCTTAAAACACTAAAGTTTATAGTAGCCTACGACCAGTAAAATTATAAGTAGTACTTAACATATAAAGTTGTTAATGGTAGTATGAAATTATTCCATGCTTTGATTAGAAGATAATATAACATATCAGTACAAAATAAAAAATAAAAGAAATTCAATAATTGGTTTAAAATATAGTATGATTGATACAGTTACCAGATAATTACTTAAATTAAATAATTGATTTAATGTGGATGAATATTGGATTAATATAAGTTAGGCAAAGTAA